GTGCCAGTTTGCAATTTACTTCATCTGAATGGTTTTGTTCATTTAGAAAAGTGCAGAATTCCAGGTATTATGTTGCTTCCCTTTTCTTTAGCTTTTTTTCAGTTCTGTCTTATTCCAGAAAACAAGGGCATATCTTTACATACAGGCAATTTTCTTACTTAAAACAAACAATCAAACAAATCTGTTGTGCATTGTGAATACAAAGCTTGTGCCTTCACTTTTTCTTTCTTACTGTGCAAACGGTTTCTCCTTTTGTAGGGGATTTCACAGCAATAATATCAAGTCAATACCAGAGCGTGCATTTGTGGGGAATCCGTCACTTATCACAATGTAAGTGATAACACTCTTTTCAATGGCTCTTCTTGTCAGAGAACATGGAACTTGGTATCTTATTTGTCGCTAATTGTCAAATTGGTCTCTTTCTGAGTGCACATCATTACACAAGGAAACAAGTTCCTATCTCTCCAGCTTTGTGGAAAGAATGGCAGTTTGCATGCCCTGTTTCAGGGAAGCGAGCAGTGGTCTCTGGCCTTTGACCTTTTATTTGAACTTTTTCTTCTGAGTCTTTTAGCATTACTGGCTATGTAGAAGTGAGCGGAAACTACTCGTGATGGATTCCAGTCTAAGTCTAAGTTGCTTTACATGAGAATGAATCTAATGGACAAACCTCAAAATAAGAAATTGTAAAATAAATGTAAGGAAAATTGCAACCTGAGCAATGCTATTCTATGAGTAAAAGCATCATGGCTTCAAAAATGCAGGGGAACTTCTTCTGAGTATGTGAAGTTCTGACTTCTTCACCTGCTAAATTTAAACTTGTTTCAGGTCATAGCAAAGTTTTGGATTTCTATCTTTGCAAACCAGAGAGGAAGAGGGAGCATTTTTTGCCTGGTTTCTGGCTTTAAAACCAAGAAAACAATGACTACGTGTATATTCAAAATCTGAAATGGTGGTTGATGGATATAGATTAATGGGTTAGAAAAGCCCAGAGGAGCACGTCTGCAGCAACCAGAGGCACACAGCTTGTCATTCATCATAGAGAGTTTACTCTTTTGCTTATAGAATAATCATGTAATATATTTAGAATATTTTAAAATATTTTTCGTAAAATGTCTTTTTATCTCCTTTTACAGACATTTTTATGACAACCCTATCCATCTTGTTGGAAGATCTGCTTTTCAACACTTACCAGAACTCCGAACTCTGTATGTGTTTACTTCTTTATTTTAATAGTCTTTACAGACCGCAGCATTAAAGTTGTCCTACACGTTGCTCACCACCTGTATTGAAATGATGTTTTAAAATTCTAGGACTTTAAATGGTGCTTCACAGATAACCGAGTTTCCTGACCTGACAGGGACTACAAGTCTGGAGAGTTTGTAAGTGCTAGAGAAATGTTTTTGCTTTCTTTTATTACTTTCATAGTGACTTATTCTAAGGAATGTCCTAAAAAAAGAATATTTTGTAGTCTTTAAAGAGCATTCTTTTTCATTCTTTTTTTTTTTTTTATAAATACTTTCAACAGGACACTCACTGGAGCACAGATCACCTCTCTCCCCAAATCAGCTTGTGACCAGTTACCTAATCTCCAAGTCCTGTACGTTTCAGTAAGATTATTAACATTACATTAATGTAAGAGATTAATGGACAAATTAAATAATTATTATTTCAAAATTACCCAATTACTGCTATTTCTGTGTATCACGTTACTTCTTAGGAATTCAACTCAGTGAGCAGGCCCCTGTGTTACTCAAGAAGTTCACAACCCTCTTATCAATCAGGATTTCCCATACGTTGCTGAAAAAGATAATTGCTTTGCATATTTTCAGGAAAGAGTAAAATGATTCTTGATTTCACTTAAAGAACAACAGAATTACTTTGTTTACATTCATTCTGTCTCTCCTACACTGGGGTTTGTTTCCTCACTGGGGCAGTTGATTCAGTGAAGTAAAGGGAAAATATAACTTGAGTAAGGAGTGCAGTTTTGAGTCCTGTTTATACTCCTCTTTTAGTTTCTTTTCCAACCAGACAGAAGTAGCTGACTGAATTTTTAATAGACTATTCCCTGGCATAGTTGGGGCATAGTTTGTGTACTAAATATCCAATATTATTTTAGCTTGGAGGTTTTCTTGGAGTTTGCTTAATCACTAACAAAAGTAATCACTGTGTCCGCTTCTTTGAGAATGAGCCAACAGCACTTTCCTCTATGTATTACATCACTAGGAATGTATTTGGTATTAGTTCTCTGGCCAGCATTGAAATAGCATTAATTATTACACATTATTTGAATACCAGTGTGGATGTCATGAACATTTCCTGAAAAAATTAAGTTTTAGTTGATGGACTCAATATAATCATTTCCAGAATGATAAAAAGACAGAAGCAGTCTGTTGCCAGAGAAAGTCTGCACACAGAATTAAGTTTAACTATGTCCTGTATTATTCAAAACCCATAAATAATCTCACGACAGAAGGCAAATAAACACTATAGTCATTAAAAACCTGTACAGTTCATAGTAGAGTAGGACTGTCCATTGGAAATTTCATCCTGTATTATTAGAGCTGAAACTTAAAAGGATAAGGAATCAATTTGACAACAATTGTATATACTCAAAGCTGCTCTTTCCCCAATCCCATGAGATTGGAACCAGCCTGCCAAGCACAAATTTAGGTTTGCCCATTCATTTTGCCTGGGCCATCAAGTATAACAGTGTGCTGAACCCCACAAATGACCTGGAGCCTGTGACCTTGAAAGGGCTTCCTGGCTCAGATACATGCATAAACACTACAAGTGCAAACACAGCTATAAAAGACAATTTGGGCATCCTACCTAGCCACTAGTACTTCCAGATGTTTATTAATGTACATGGAGGCTTCCTAGGTGTCTGCACACCTGCAGCAAAAGGGTATGTGAGAACAGGGTCCCAGCAGTCCTAGAGATGCCCCTCAGCACAACTGGGTATGCACCTCCACGTGGGAAGCAAAGCCAATTGCCCTCTACTGGTGCCAAGAGCCTCGTGTATAAACAAAGTGGGGAAAAATCCTTAAAAATAAAAAAGTAAAAAAATTCCTGAAGCTCTAACAGAAACTGAGGGGAGAAGGGTTTCAGTTTTGTTTGGGATTTTTTTTTTTCAGTATGTGAAGAGGAAATGTCAGTCTGTACAGAATTCAAGCTGATCACACACTTTTAAGAAGACTAAAGTCAAAAAACTGTGCATCACAGAGTAGCCACAGTCCACCAGACATACCAAACATATTTTACCTTGCCCTAAAAGCTTCCAGCTCATTTGAATTCTTCTTTGTCCTGTCTGATTTGGACCACAGAGTATCTGTGAAAAATACAAAAACAGAGGCCGTAATCTTCCCTGCTGTAATAAAATATATACCTATATTGATGGTCACCTTAGCACATAATAAAAGCAGAGTGGAATAGCTTGAAAAAACACACAATGCACCACTTCCACAAATCAAATATAAAATATTCCAAATGCCCCTGATGGAATAGTAACAATGAAAATAAAATTTTACCAAGGGTGTAAATGGGTGGATGTCAACCAGTGAAAGAATTTGAAACAGGACTAAAACGGGATTGCTCTTTTACGTGACAATATTGGATAACTATGGAAGATTACATTTTTCCTAGTTATAAGCATAAGCTTTTTTTGCGTATTCTTTTCACAAGCAAATTTCCCATTCAGTTTTCCCTGAGCAAGATGTGTGTATAGGATGAGACTGTTGGGTGGTGGGGGTGGGTGTTTGATTCCTGGGTGTTTTTTTTCCCTCCAATTTCTGCAAATTGCCTGTGCTTGTTTTTCATTAGTTATATTATACTATAAATCAATCCAGATGTTTCAGTTATTCTGTAATTTGTTGTGTTTTGGCTCAAGTCTTTTTAAGGTTTCTTTCTTCCATGTAGTGATTGATTTCAAAGTCAGTTCCAATATTTTTTTAACTGCTCCCCTCAGTTATAAGATGCAACAGTCTAAGAATCAGAGGCAATACTGCTGAATTAAAAGTGCAGAATGGACAGCTGATTACAGTTCATTATGATTATTACCAGAAAAATACAGCATCTTTTCTGAAAAAAAAAAAAATTAGTATATATGTTTAGTAGATTATTTTTAATGGTTTAAATATTTGTCACAATGTAAACTTTATGAAGTCTGTGATGCAAATCTGATATTCCCTATGAGCAGATGGCCAATATAATTACTGAAAAACACTCAAGAGAAGTCTGCACTTCAGGCGGGAAATCTTCAGGCAATGCAAGGAATTTGCAGACATAGGTTATGGAGTTAATACATCTTGACTTTTCCTCTCCTATCTCCTCCTCAGTTAGAAATCAAAATCTGACAGATGGGGGATAGTAACTGAGTTTTAATGTTTTTGGTCTTCTGTGAGTGTGGATAAAAACAAGTTATTTTAAATTGAGCATGAAAGTGGACAATGAAAGATCTTTTAATGTTACTTTGATATTAATCTTTTCTTGTGTGTTACAGGGATCTGTCTTACAACCTGCTGGAAGATTTACCCTGTTTTACTGCATGTAAAAGACTCCAAAAAATGTGAGTGTCAAACCATCCTAAAAAGTCTAAGAAGAGGCATCTATAGACAAATCTGTTTGAGCGTCATCACCTTGCTTATTGCTGGCCAATTTGACGTATCCTAAATACATACCCTTATGCTATATTCAAGTGGATCATAAAAACAATACAAAACACCCCAAAGTGCTCTCCAAGTGACTTTGAAACTGAGGAGATTCTTTTTTGCTATTTCAGTGACTTGCATCACAATGAAATTGGTGAAATCAAAGCAGACACGTTTCGGCAGCTGGCTGCTCTTCGGTCTCTGTGAGTACAGCCCTAACAGCTATTCACCCGGGTTCTCAAAAACATGCAGCATACACTGTCTGCCCCAAAACAAGCTTGTTTTTGCTTTTCTTTGATCTTTCACCCATCAGGTCATAACTGTGAAAGCAGAACATGCAATGTGAAGTGTAGCATCTGCAGCAACTAATTCAAAGTTGTAAACTTACAGCTATAAAAGCTGTTCCTTTTAAATGTTTCTCATTTGGAAAAGGTGATCGTCATGGGTCCCTTCCAGCTGAACTGTTCTGTTCTATTCTGCTCTCTCCTGAGAGAGATACTGAGCCAGAGTTAGTATCTGTTGGCAGGTTCATGTAATAATCAGCTCTAGAGAGCATAAAATCTTATTTATAGAGAACAGTGTAGTAAGAAATAGATTCTAACCGCGTGTCAGTTTATAGTTTTCACTCAGACACGTACGATAGCAGAGTAATTTTGTCAAGAAATTTACTCATGGGTGTAAGTCTTTGTAGGATGAAGCCCATACATTTTTTTAAGAGTTCTTTTCAGGGTTTTTTTCAGGGCAGTGAAGATTGAGATTAGGAAGTTAAGCCTAATGACAATGGATTTGTTCTTCTTGGTCACATCATGAGGACCCCTTAAAAGTAGTCCATATACCCCACCCTTCTCTCTTCTCTCTTGGGAAACTGTGAAGCAGACTGAAAATAACTGTGTCAGACTGCAGAAGGCATTAAGAAGTTCTAAGAGGAAGTTGTCAGTTTAATAACTAACATCATGAACTGACTAACATAATTTAAAAACTGGAAAAAGATTTTTCAGTATGAGCTATGCAGAAACTTTTAAAATATTTGCATGTAATTAATACCTCTTTTATATTTAGGCCTCCTAATCAAGTGTATGAAAACTTCCATATTCACTCACTGGGTATGTAATTTTCCACTCACTTTTCTTGTAGGGATTTAGCTTGGAACAAAATTAAAATTATTCACCCCAATGCCTTCTCCTCTTTACCATCTCTGATCAAACTGTAAGTATTTGTATATCTTCTGTATTCAAATTGTCACATTTTTCTTGAAAGAGCATACAAAAAATTAATAACTTCGTGCCCCACTCAGCAGAAATTGACACTTTCTCTATTCTAATCTTCTCATCTGTTGAATCCATATTTAAATGCCTGCTTTCTTGTAGTTCACCTCCTATAGGTATTATGGCAAAGCTGCATATAACACTGTGTAATTAGAGTGATTTGGAGTCCATGAAGCATATCAATGTATCTGCCTTTCTTCATTCAATTTGTTTGCAGTTTAGTGTCTTTTAGCAGTGGGGGAATATTGCCTGTTTTATATCAGGACTAAAGAATTGGATTCAAAATTAAATAAGAAACATTTTTTCCAGTAAGCATCTTTATTTCATTGTTCCTCATTCGATGGGATATTTTTTCTTCTTTAGTAACTTCAGCCAGAGTAGTTTGTGGTCAAAACATCAGCAATCCAATCTTGCATGCCTTGTTCACAAGTACTTCTCAGTCCTTACTAACTTTTCCCTGTTTCCTGCTGTCATTGTAATGCCACTAAGGTGTATCTCTGAGGCATTGGATGTATGGGAAAGATGTGAAAGAAAATTACTTTGGAGTCGTCCTTGCTCCATGGTTTTCACAAAGACATATTGATGGGCATCTGCTCACAGATAATCCAGTAGCTGCTGGGAAACCTAAAATTGGAAAGGGCATTGCTTTCTGTTGATCTGGAAAGCCTCCCCTCAGAAATTGCGCACTGGAAAATGTCCATAAAGAGAGTATTACCTATGGCATCCCTTTCTGGGTGCCCTTCTCAGGATTTTACTGCAGAAGAAGGGGCGAGGGAGCATCATGCTGCCAGCAGTAAATTGGTAGCTTTGATCAATAGCACAGAACAGTCAGGGAGGGTTAAAGGTAAAGCCCTTTAACACACCTACACACACAGAGAGCAACACTGAGTACCAGTGTTTTCTGAAATATTAGTCTGCAACCCTGGTCTGACTGCAATCAATGGTCATTTTTGCTACTGCAGTAGCAGCAGAATGTCACCTTTTTTATTCCACTATGTTGTGAGCAGGAGGACACACACACACAAACAGTCTAAACCAGGAAAAGTAGAAGACCATGAATATATGTCATGTCTAGCCCCCTAGATTTCAGTAGATAGTCCAAGAGACTTTACTGTAAACCCTTGGGCGTAAAAGCATTTCAGCAGCATCAGATTCCCTGTCTTCCTTCTTGACTGTTGACCATCATAAGTATTGCAGTATAGGTAATTGTGAAGAGGACTGAAAAGACTTACAGAATAAATGAGAGAGGGAGAAATAGAGAGTAGAATACCTCTGGACTTCCCCCTCTTCAATTGCTTTACCATTTCTCCTTGATCACAGTCAATTTTTCATTCACTTTTTTTACTTTCCCTGTTATATATCCATGCTCTGTGGTGTCTTTGTTCAGCTCCTCAGACAAACCTCAGCTTAGAACTGTTACCTTCATCTGCTCCAGCCCTGTCGTCTCTTCTCCTGAAGGACACGTCTTCCCCATGCACCCAACCTGCTCCCTGGGGAGCTTTCAGGGCAGCCAATGCTCTCTAGCATCCCACTGAATCCCTTCAATTGTGGAAAGCTCTTCTGGTACTGGCTCCCTTCTATTGAACAGATTTTCAATTCATTCTCTAGTCTCAGAAGCAGCACTATAGAAGTTTGGAGTCAAAATTTGGCAACAGAGACTTAGGTAACTGCTGGGCATTACTGTTAGCTTTCTGCTAGGCACATAGACGTGTACCCCTGGCATGGTGCTGCAGCTTTGCTCTGCTGACTGGGGCCTCTCTTTAGTGCAGACATTTTTGCTTGAATCAGAAAATTCTAACCTGTTTTTCCAACATGACACTTCTAGTGCTGAAGAAAAAAAAAAATAATGAAAGCCTGTAAGCTGATTTTTATTTGCTGTTATGCAGGGATGTGTCATCCAACCTTTTGTCCTCTTTTCCTGTGACGGGGCTACATGGTTTAACTCATTTAAAATTAACAGGAAATCATGCCCTACAAAGTTTGATATCATCTGAAAATTTTCCAGAACTCAAGTGAGTATATCATTAAAACTAATAAGCCACATTTGTGTTCATGTGCAATGGAAGGTGTGTCAGTGTGTAGTGCGTTACTTCGTATTGTCAGTCTTTGATCTGTGCTGTTAAAACTAAAGCAAATATGATAAAAATGATAGACTTCTTTTATTATGCTCACTTTTAACTGAAGAAACTATGAAGGGTTTTGAAATATTAACCCCAGAACTTGCTTAGTAGGAGCCACATCTGCTTCCTGGTGATACGTTTCAAAAGCTGTTAAAACAATATTGCTTGAAGCTTAGTGATAGGCCCTTCTTTTGCTAGACTGTGCTTACAAAACTTCCATTGTATTTAACGAGAACACAGCAAATATCAAGGGAAGAAGTTCCAAAATATTTGGCCTCTTTTGTTTGAACGTGTTTTTCTGTAATCTTATGATTATGATTGAGATGATGCTTTGCCATTATTGCTAACAATTTTTATGCTAGTCATTTTCTGCTGGATGCTTTGTGGTACAGGAAGGAAATATTCTCTAGAGATCATTTTCAGCTCTTCCATTCACTGGATGACCATAGAGAAATCACAGTAAGGAGAGTCTTGCCTCTGACATCTGGGTATTTGGGAGTGTCCACTAATTCTCCCTTGGTTTTTTTCTTTTAATTAGAGGATGCCAAGTGCAGCGTATTTTTTTCTATGTTTCACTGTAAAAGGTTTGATATTATAAAATTTGAAACAATTAAACAGTGTGCACATAGTTACAGAATCACCATATGCTTGAGGTTGGAAGGCACCTCTGGAGGGTGTCTTGTCATCACCCTCTGCTCAAGCAGGGTCGCCTGGAGCCAGTTGTCCGAAACCATGTCCAGAAAGCTTTTGAATATCTCCAAGGATGGAGACTCCATCCTTACAGAATCATTTTGGTTGAAAAAGACCTTTAAGATCATCAGTTCCAACTGTTAACCTAGCACCAGACAGTCCACCACTAAACCACGTCCCTAACACTGTATCTGCACTTCTTTTAAATACCTCCGGGGTGACTCAACTGCTCAAGCAGTTCTCTGCTCACTGTATTTGCATTTTGAGGTGGAAAGGTCTCATGAGTCTTAGCAGGCAGACAATTCAAGGAGACATTATCACTGATTAAAAGGGCTGGAGTGTTTGGAGCTATCAATAAGAACCATGAGTAGAAGTGCGGAGGTGATTAAACCTCTGTGCACAGCACTGGAGGGATCCATACTAGAACACCTATGTGATGGCATGTTAATAGAAACAGAGGGAAGAGCTGCAAAAAATGGTTCCAAGGTTAGGAAACAATGCCTTAAGAGACTTAATAAGCCAAATATTTATAGTTTGACACAGACGAGTTTGGGCAGTGACTTCATCACAGTGTGGAAATCTACTCTGTAACAAACATTCAAAGTACTAGAGGCCGTACTCCTCTCTTACACCAGAGACCTTCAGATGGGTCTCAGAGGTCAAGAAGCAAGTACCAGAAGAAATTGTGAATGGTTGAGACTGGGCTTCTGCCATAGTTTTTCTTCCTTCACTCATTTTGCCCACGTGTTGAGACAGGTGACAATCCTAAAATACCTGAAGGTTCTTTAAAAGAATGTGAATATAAGAAAATTGTTTACTCCAACCAAGCAGATATATAGTGATGTATATACCAAGACCTAGAAGCATGAGGTGCTGCAATAGTCCTAGAATAATCCACTATTCAACTGAATTATGTACAACCAACATCTTTTTAATTCTTTTATCAAAATTATACTTTATACTATTTTTTTTCCAAAAGGAAAGTTATGTACATTGCTCAAATACAACTACAGTGTATTAAGTCTGGGTAAGCAGTTAACAAGAATCTGTCAGGCAGTAGCTTGGGTCTTAAAAAAAAGGTATGAAAAGTATGATTAATATACCAAGAGCTGTTTAACATCTGTAAGAACAAATTGTATCCAGTCAGGAGATAACGGGGTAAAATCCTCACCTGGAGTCTGCAGGACTTTCACCATGGATAAAAATGAAGCCAGGACTTCACACAGAATCACTGCATGAAGCACCAAACTTGAACAGAGATCTAAACCAAAATGAAATTTCACTCTTTGTAATTGTCAGAACAAGACAGTGGTTACAACATTAATAACAAATTCCTGAATAAAAGCTTCCTGATCATCTAAGTGGGTCATGGCTGTTCAATACACAGACACATCAAAAAGCTGAGCATCCTCTGCCCCACCTCCAGCGATGGTACAAGCACACTCTGCAGACCTGAGCCCAGCCTGATATGGCAAGCTATGAGGAAGTAATGTCAGGCTGCCAGCCACTCCTTCCTTCTTTATCTAATGCTTTGATTCAGCACTGTAAAGCCCTCAGTGATTTGCTCCATCCATCATAACTGTGCCTTCCCATTCACCGTCAACCTCACACCTTTGTCAGGTGGAAAACAACCTTGCCTTCTCTGCTGCTTAATCTAAAGAAAAAAATAAATAAATAAAAATATCAAGGAGATAGATACCATCAGTAAGATAAGCAGTGTATAAAAATAAATTCAGCCAGGGTTTCTAAAATAATTTAATTTGACAAAGTCCAAATCTAATTACCCACATCAAATAAGCAGCAGCCATAAAAAGGACTGCTTCCAGCACTGTGCAGCTGAGAGATGCTGCCTTTTTGTTGTTGTTGTTAAAAGTAGCTTTTGCAAGAAAGAAATTCCTCTGTCACCACAAAGAGCTGATACTAATTTCCCTGCACTGCAAAGTCTGCATTGTCCTCTGTGGTCTGGGTCCCAGTCCACAGAGCCCATTCTGTGCAGTTGCGGCCTACAGAGAGGGTAAGAAATATGAGTCTTGCTCTTTAAAGATAATTGAAAAGCAGTGGGGTTTTTTGGCTACTTCATTGAAGCAGTGAACCAGGACAATGTGAGAGGTCCACATCTCCAGTGCATTACAGGCTGGCAGGCTAGTAGAAGCCCAACAGCATGTGGAAATCTGTCATTATTAAGCACATAGAGCTGTTTGGATACATGTAGTTAGTCCCTTGAGCCTAAAATGTCCACTAGCGTTTCAATTCCCCAGCTGTATCAATGTCTCCAAAAAGATCTGAAGCCACAAATTGCAGTGATCACCTTGTGGAACTGTCAGTGTTTCTTTTGATAAGATTTTTTGTTTGGTTTAGTGAGGAATTTTTTTTCAGAAAAAGGGTGTTTCTGGTTGTGGATTACAATTTTTTTTTAGCCCAGGTGACTAGCTATGAGTTAATCTAGTAATCCATGGCTTTAATAATAGTTTATTTAAGAAAGGCTTCTGGGAAATGTGTTCAAAATTGTTTAATCAAGATAATCTCCTACTTTTAAATGAGGGCACGCACAGAAATGGGTTGGAAATTAAAGATTTAAATCTGCTGGCATGAGGTTGCTTTATAGTTGGATCTTGTTTAGCTTGAATTATTATTGAGTACCTTAAAAATACATTATGTAGCCTTTTGTACTGTGTACGAGGGTACAGATTATTGTTGCTAATTCCCAGCAGAAATGTAAGTATCTCGAGTCTAAATGCCCCAAAAGGCACTAATTAAAAAATCACTGTAGAGCTTAGGGATCTGTTTGTTCCCCTTTGTATCAAGCTTTTGGCTAGCACACAAGTTTAAGTCCTATTGGCACTGGGCCTGATTCAGATTGATTTCTTTGCAGATTTCCCAGGGGGTTAGAGGTTGCTTGGAATGCTCATTATGTTAATTCACATGATTAACCTGTTGAAAGTAATCTGATAGGAGGATATAGTTCTATTTTATTCCTTTTAAGTCAGAATAACTTCTAATCACCTCTTTGTCATTGTATTTTTTTGGTTTATTGGGTTTTTGGAATTAACGTGAATTGTTAGGTTTTACTCTGTACTATTTGCCAGCTGTGCAAATTAAATATCTCTACTTCCAGAGCATAAAATCTAAGGAATAGAAATAGTAGTCTATTGAACTTGAGTGATGTAGTTCTTCCATGCTACCCCAGAATTTGCATATCCCCAAAGGAATTAGATTTGAAACATACCAGAAATGAGCCATTTTCTGACAAAATAAACCCTCTAAAATCATTGAAACTCACTGACCTATACCCAGTTATGTGGTAGGAATACCACTGATGTTAAAAGAGCTAGGAATGAGCATCCATTGTCCTGCAATGGCCAAGCTCATTTCTAAGACAATTAAGAAAATATTTTCCTCAGTGGCATTTGTTTTCACACACACTGCATTTCTGATCCATTCACCTTTTGGTTTAGAACACTGCTTCCTTGATCTGTGCACAAATAACCATCTCCTTTTTGCCATCTTACTATGAAAAGAGGTGGATCTGGAAAGAGGTGGATAAACTTTGAATTCCAAAAAATCTCATTCTCCCCAAACTGGAGAAATCCCATTTGGGAACTGATGATTTAATTTTCCCTGTTAGGCAGGTAGATGCAGTTGTAATCTTTGGACCTGCTTTGTTAAAAGAAGCCATTAAGAAAGCAACATGGAGAAACTTGTTACGTGTTAAAATTATGCAAAATTCTAAAATAGAAATACAACTCTACAAGTAAAGTTCACTCAACAACTCACAGATTTCCCACTTCCATATTCCAAATGCGTAAGAAAATTTCATTGTGCCTTTACTAAAATTAGCCTAGAAAACATCTGCATTTCTGATGTGGAATTGTATTTATGAGTCTTCATTTAGTATTAGTCTGGCTGATTTTTACCCATAGATATTTTTACTTTCAGTCATGGTTATTTAAAAAAGCACCTTTGTGCTAGCAGTAGAGGAGCAGCACAACCCAGTAACTCTGGTACTAAACCAGTGTGGCATGCTTCCTTATTCTTCTACAGGGTCATGGAAATGCCTTATGCTTATCAGTGCTGTGCCTTTGGAGCTTGTGAAAGCCACTACAAAATCTCCAGCCAGTGGAACAAAGATGACAATAGCAGCATTGACGATTTTCACAAGAAGGATGCTGGGTTGTTGCAAATTCAAGGTAATCATCATCTTTGGCTTTGGAACCTACTTGAAGGCTGTGAGTGGCCTGTGATGTTAAACAAATCCTGTACTCTTTTACAGTCACAGAGTGAGCCTCTCCCTCTCTCTAACCCAATAGTGTGTTAATCAAGCATTCCTGTGCTTAGAAAACTCGTTTCAGGTCTGCCTTTCAAAAATCTCACTCACTTATCTTTCCATCAAAATAATGTGGGAAGGAGGGAGAGAAACCGGGAACAAAGTGATTTGGGCCCAGGAAGAAGGGAGGGGTGGGGTAACATATGCAAGCCCTGCTCTGTGTGTTGTCTGTGTGTTTGATTAGTGTGAAATTAAAGTATTTTGTTTTCCCCAAGTTGAGTCTGTTTTGCCAGGGACCTTAATTGGTGAAGAACTCTCCTTGTCCTTTGTCTCGACCCAGGAGCTTTGTCCTCCTCATCCAGAGTGTGTGAGGGGGGCAGCTGAGTGAGCAGCCATGGGGCTGTTCTTTGTTGTCGTGTTGGGCCCAAAACCACAACATGGTGCCAATTTTTAAAATAATACTGAGTACAGTAATTCAAAACCAAGTAGGCATATGTCTGCTTCTGCTCACAGTTTGGCAGGCAAAGGGACAAGACCAGGCCTTAAATACCACAGATGTTTTTGCAATTTGTGCTGAAGAAGTTTTCCTAAAAACTGCTGTATCAAATCTGGGTATTTTCTCCCCAACAGATGAGCGTGACTTTGAAGATTTTTTTCTTGACTTTGAAGAAGATTTGAAAGCTCATCATTCAGTGCAATGCTCACCTTCTCCAGGTATGAAATTGCCATCCAGATAGGAACCCAAGCACAGTATTACCAGATATTCTAGATGCAGAACAAACTCTGAATCTGATACTAGGGAGGACATGATGTTTTGCAGTAATTTGATGAGTTTAATACAGATACAGTGCGCAATAATATAACATTTTGCATTTAAGTCCAGAAAAGTATTCAGCTACTAAATTCAATTATGAGTGTAACAGAAGTTTTGCCAGTCCTCAGGTAGGTCCTCTAACAGCAAATAATAATACATTTTATAGAAGTTAAGTAAAGAGGAATCAAAAAGGGAGGAAGCATAAACATTTAGTACCATTTGACCAGTACATATTCTCCTATGTATGTCATAAAAACGTTCCTGCCTTCAAGCTGAGTTATCATGAGACTCAAGAGAAAATTTAGCTTCCATGCTGATCTTTCAAATGGTATCTTAGAAAACTTACAAACTGGCACAATAGATGCTTATGCCTACTGGATAGCAACAGTTGCAGTCACGTGAAGCGCGTCTTGGCTTCGAGGTTTGTGTATCCATTGAGAATCACAGACACTGTGAAGGGCTTGCTTTGAGAGAGCATGATAAAGAACATTTCTCAGCCTGCAGAGCATTCAGCTTCAACCATACAGCATATTCACCTCAGTTCTATGAGACTACACCACAGGCTTCAAGCATAAGGCCCTGATTTCAGCAGTGGTTCATGAGAAGCCGCTCGAAAAAGGCAGCACTTCCAAATGCAAAGACAGCCTCAATTTTCTTGGTCTGTGTAATGACAAATACCCAAAGTGCATCTGTCCATATCCAGTATGTCACACTTCACCAGGACTCATTAGCAACCTGTCCTAGTTTAGTGAGAGGTATCTTTTTCAGCTTATTTTCACACACTGGCAAACATCACAGCATTTCTTGAAACTACAGACTGGATATTTGTCTTGCAGTTGTACCACTAGGGAAAAAAGAAACCCATAGACTCTTTGAGCTGAGGGACAAAGACTCGTGATCTCCAGTAATGCAACATCCATATGAGCAGCAGCATGTTGTCAAGTTCTTGAGTTACTCCAAAGGAAAAGCAAATTTCCAGCTCCCCTTTTGGACTGAAATTCACTGCTTGGCTGTGCTGTGAATTTGGAAGAAGCATGAAATTTAATGTCTTAGAAAGCACAACATTATTTTTAAATTTACAGGTGTTTCCCTTGTCCTCTTCATTTTGTCATTTCAGGTCCCTTCAAACCATGTGACCATCTCTTTGGTAGCTGGCTGATCAGAATTGGAGTGTGGACTATAGTGGGTTTGACCTTTGTTTGCAATGCACTGGTGTCTGCTACAGTTTTCAGATCTCCATTGTATATATCCTCCATAAAAGTTTTGATTGGTTTAATAGCTATTGTAAATGCATTGATGGGTCTGGCCAGTGGAGTACTGGCCAGCGTGGATGCATCCACTTTTGGCAGCTTTGCTCAGTATGGAGCACAATGGGAAAGTGGAATTGGTTGCCAAATAACTGGCTTTCTCTCCATTTTTGCTTCAGAGGCTTCCATTTTCCTCCTCACCCTGGCTGCACTGGAGCGTGCATTCTCTGTAAAGCACACTACAAAGTTTGAAACAAAATCCTCCTTTGGTAATGTAAAAATTGCCGTTTTCTTTTGCTTTGTGTTGGCACTAATCATTGCAGTGATGCCACTCCTCACTGGGAGTGAGTATGGAGTTTCTCCTCTTTGTTTACCTCTACCATTTGGAGAACCCACTGCGATGGGCTACATGGTAGCACTGGTCCTGCTGA